GCAAACCCTGTCCTACTGGAATTTCCTTGAGAAACTTGATTCCATCCTACCTATGGCCTTGATCTTGCTGCTTCAGACTTCTGTCTATCCCTCAAACTTAAAGAACATTGAAAAGGAACATGATTTAAGTTCCTTGAGGATGCCCAAACTGCCATTTGACATGCTGTAAATCAAAGGAGGAACGGTCAGAGACATGGAAACACTACCTTCAGAAGTGTACAGACCTGGATGGATGAGATGTTTAGAAACAATAGCTTCCCATTTTGATACTTTTGTTTAATGGAGGTTTCCATGATTTTCTAGCAATGCTTTCTGAGTTACCCTTGTATATAACTATAGTGTATGCAGGACAGCAGATGTCTAATACGTAAAAGGAATGATTCCAAGTATAGGAAAACAGCATCCATCACAATTCATTTACTTTCTACATTTAATTATTGATAGATTGGCCTTTCTTAAAGGAAGCGTACCTGTGGTTCTTGAGATATGAAATTGCAGAACAAGGTTTCCAAGTCATACAACAAAAAGGCTTGTGGAAGATTCTTTATATTTATATGTTTTTTAAAAATGCTAAATAATTTCTTAAGCTTTTGTCTGATTTAAGCCCTTTTATTTTCTATTCACTACACACAATAATATTTCTTGATTGGCGAACTGTTGTATTTTCGAATGAAAGACCCTTTGCAATTTAAGGGAAAAAGGGTTTCTTTAGTGAACTTAGACTTTGAATCTCCCAAACTAATGCTGATATTTGAACACATAAAGTATTTCATTGAAATAGCATTTCTTTGTTAATATAATTACAGACTTTGGTCAGAAAAACTTTCAGAAAGACGTTATAATATTCTGAGCATGTTGGTTACTCTCACTTTATTTTATAAATAATTCTGTGCGAATCATAATTTGCTAGCAGCCCTTTTCCCTTTCTGAAGGTTCTAGTAATATTTACTAGGATCCAAATGCAAACTATCTCATGAGCATGACTTGGTGCTTCTCTTGATTGTTTGAAAGTCACGTTTTACTACTCTGCTTATTGAGTCCGATCCCCAGTGTTTCCTCTCTTTTGAACTTTTTGGGTTATACTATAGAAAAATATATCATTTTAAATACAATAGACTATGGCCTATGTAGTTGTTGTGCGCCCTGGAGTAACTTCTTAGTATTTCTGAAAGCAATTGGAGGGTTTGAATTAGCGACCTTGCGGTGAGCAATTCAGTGCTTATTCTACGACAGCTAGTTCAACTATAATCACTCACTATGTGTTGTTTAGGAACTCAGTGGGAAAACAGCAAAACAAAACAAAAAAACAATGACCAAAAAGGGCCATGAAATTCTCAGAATACTATTAACCATCTGAACCAATGCTTAGGTTTCTTATATCTTCAATATAAGAAACACATTTTTTCCTCACTTTTTTCAGACAACAATTTTTATTTGTTTTTTCTCTAATCTTGAAATAGCTCATGATTTTTAGAAGGGTAAAGGATTTATAACTGTATGAACTCAGGAAGCATCTTTAGCAACAAAGAGAAATGAGATCTGGGATTGAGCCCCAGAAAAAATGGGTAAAGAAGCAGATGTTCGCAAATATTGAAAATACCTGTAGTCTTGGAAACAGTTTGCCTCATAATCATCAGACTATCTAGTGGAGATCACAGCATGTTTTTAGCATACTGCTAGGAGCAGGATGGCCTTGGGATCCTCTTGGCTGTTTCGATAGTTAATTCCTGACCAGACTTTTGCTAAGTTGGGATGATAAATCTGTTTCTATGGTTTGCATTTGTTTTCTTTTCACAAAATTTCCTAAGAAGGTTTTTTGAAAAAATTCCTCCAATCTCAGGAGTGCAAGAAGAATCAACATGGCGGAAAGGTCAATGAGAGCAATGGAGCACACAATAGGATCCATGTGAGTACGTAAGGGCATTAATGAAGTACGTTCAGTATGGGGGAAGCTTAAGATGTCGGGATTTCCCCTGATAATCCTATGACAAGTAAATGCAAGAATTTCAAGACATTCTGAGAAAAGGTCCATTTTATCTTGCAGTGCAGAGAGAGCCAGGACGTACAGGTGACCAGGGACAGGTGGTGCCTGCTGGCAGCTTTTTATCTGAAAGCTCAGCCCTCTCCAGTTACTCAGAAAACTATGATCTGGGTAGGGAGTACATTTTCTGGAGCAACAAGCCAAAATTCTGCTAGATTGTTGCTTTCTCTCCTCTCTTCTGACCACTTCATTGAAATAAAAAGGAGTATCTTGTAGCTTGGAGTCCTGGTGTGACACTGCAGGTTAATGAGCTACACTGCAAGGTTGGTTTGAACGGCAAAGTCGGCAGTTCAAGCTCACCAGCCACTCCTTGGAAATCCCATGTAGGGTCATTATGAGTTGGAACCGACTCAATGACACTTAACAACAACAACAACTTGTAGTTTGAGCTTCTCAACTTGAGAGAGAAAAGGCTAAACTGTCAAAATACTAAGATTTAAGCTTTGTAAAGAAGGGATAATATGAACGCGGAATGCAAGGGTTGGAGGCGGGGAAGGCAGGTGAGGTGCATAGGTGAATGATAGGATCCATTGAGGCTGCAATGGAATCACTGCAGGCTGTTGCAGTTAGCTAGGCTCATTTCTTAGTTTCAGATATTTTTCTTTCATGCTGAAGACCCACTGCTTATTGATGCTAGTTTGGCATCAATGCCTGATGCATTCTTTTAATGAGTTTCCCCAAACTTTCAGCTTCTCTTATAGACAAAGATTGGGCTGTAGTGCAAGCCAATAGAATTGTAAGGAAATGTCTACTCTTTCTCATATTAGCAGATTTTTTTTTAACCAACTATTTTGATCCCATGATATAACTGAACTTCTCCTATCTTCAAATGCAGTGTATTTTCCAAGTAAACTGTTACCTGGGGCCTTTCCTCTTCTACCTACCTATCAAAGTTTTGGCAACAATCAAGCTAAAAAACATAATGCAAAGGGGAAAAAAAAAATCAGTAATTCAGTGTGTTGTTGCTCAGTCTCAAAGTGAGATTACCTGAGTAAATGGGCTTTCTGAGGCATACAGTAAGTATGGATTTTTCATTTGAACTTAAGTAGTTAAAAGAAAGATTGTTGAAAATAATAGTACAACTGCAATATCTCAAGGAACTGAATTTCACCTAAGTCCTTTTTGTTGTTGTTGTTGTTGTTAAATGCCTTCGAGTAGATTCTGACTTAACCTGTTTCCGAGGAGCAGCTGGTGAATTTGAAGTGCTGACCTTGCGGTCCAATCCAATCTTGCAGTCCATGTGTGCTAACCCACAGAGCTACACCTGAAGCAGCTAGCTATATTGCAATAGCATTATGGGGTCAAGTTTGAGATTCAGATTATAATATATTTTTTAATGGGGAGGAAGTTTTTCTCTTCTTCTTTTAATATTTTGCATATATGAAAATATTTCAAAGAAACAATTCAAAGTTTAAGAAGAAAAACAATATATATTTAAAAACTTCTATTTAGTGTCACCAAACTACAAACATAGACGCTTAATGGAAATTTCTGCTTCCAGAATACTCTAGTGAAAAGGTTGTAAAGTGAGAATTTAATAAGTGCCAGTCCCTTGCTGAACCTGAACTTTGACATCTTTCAGGATGTATACTGCTGAAATGACTCAATATTTAATCTCGTTCTAAACAGAAATCCAAACTTCCATGGGAGCTTGAATATCTCTCAACATCCAAGCTTGGACAGGAGGCCACCCAAACAATATGGAGCTATATGAAAAACCTCTCTTCTTCTGGATGTTTCAGTCCAATACTTTGCATAACTTAATACAAGGTCCACTGCCTTCTAAGAGGGGCAGCTCTATATGCTGGATACCACACATTGCAAGGAAAAAGCATCATTTCTTATTATAATGCTGAGTCTCTCCAATATTCTTATATATGCATTTTCCCCTTGCCACCTTAATTGCTCTACCTCTCTTACTTCAAGGCAAAGCTAGATGAACAGCCTTTCCATTCTTCCCTGGAGGTTGGAATGAGGCTATCTTTTGAAAAAAAAAAAAAGTGTATATAATCATATAATCACTACAGATCCTTTTTGTTACACTCATCTTATAGGGTGAGTCTCAGAGTTCGGGCCACACTCTCTTATCGTTGGACCAGACGTATTTTGGATTTCAAATTTTTTTAGCCATGCTACCCAAGGCATATATTACACATAACTTCCAGCATCTGGTAATGAAATTCACTAATATTTCTGCAGTAAAATGTATGGATTGCCATAATTGATGGAAAACAAAGTCTATTAATAGTCCCAAATCAGGTCAGGTGAAACTTTGCCATCAAATGAATTTTGATGTCAAACTTTCAAAAAAAAATTCTGAAAAACTTCCAGGTTTTTATGGTATTTGGGATTTTGAAATTGAAACTTAGGTTTTTTCAAAGACTTAAATTAATCTATTCATGCCTAGAGAAGGAAGAACTGAGAATGATGACAAATAACCCAAGTAGGCCCTTTCAAAGTGATCTTTTAAACATGGAATTGGACTATTTTGAGCAGGATTTGTGATAAATGGGTTGTCCTTGTTCCTGGCTCCTGGCTCAAGGTCATATGACCTTGACACATTCTGTCCCCAGAGTCTTGCTGTAACGGCGCTGTTGTCATGGAACTGTCTTGCTGCTTTGCAAGGGCAGAGAGCAGAAGTGGATAGACCTAGTCTCCCTGAGACTCCCAGGAACATTCCCAGATCAGAAACCAAACCTCAACTAGACAGTAGTATTGGAGCTAACTGGCATGCTTATCCAATGACTCCGTAATACAGTGATTGCATAGCTGGATTTTTTAAAGAATATAAAAACCCAAAACTTGCTTTTTTCCTTAATTGAGGGGAAATCTCTTTTTTTTTTAAAGACGTCATGTTTGGAATTTTAAACATGGGGTTTAGAAGAATGCATTCTAGGTTATTATGCTAGGGCAGAGGGGTTGTCACCGGTGAAGAGGACAGATAGAGATCAAGTCTTACTTGGCTTCCAGTGCCAATGCAATGATGCCTGCAGCCATGGGGGCTGAGGCCGATGTCCCAGTGTGGTTGTCTGTGCAACGCTGCCTCAGATCCGTAGTGATCTAGAAGACAGAAGAAGTAAACATATTTAGGTCTCGGGATCAAAGTGAGTCACATGCAATTTTATTAGGGAAGATAGTCACTCAAAAAAGTGGAATGGAAATCGTGTTGAATATGTGTTTTGAGTGCTTAATTCCTGCACTCTTAGAAGCATCCGACTTACAGAGAATCACATGTGTAAATGAACGCTTTATTATAACCAAGGTCGAGACTGAGATGAGGGAAGTCAGGCACCAATGACTCAAAACATATGTGTTGTGCAAATGCCTCCTTCAGTTTTGCACTGTAGGCACCTCCTCACTTATGCCTTCAAATCCTGGAACTGGTTACAACTAAAGCATTTTCATTACTCCATCCTTTCTTTACTATCAGACATGTGGAATCAAAAACCAGACCCAAATTAGGCATTAGAAATAAAAGGATAAAAACTATAGCATCCCTTGTCCTTCCAGAACTGTTACCATGGCTAAGCCACAGGTTTTGAAGTAAAATGTACACTCTGCAATAGAAGGGACCTTTGACCTTGGATCTATTTCTAAAATTCTCAGAAATATTGCATGGATGAGCAACAGTTCCCGCAAGACTTAACACAAATAGTAAAAACAAGATTGAACTCAGTGTGTTTGATATGAAATTACAACATGAAGCAAATGCTTTAGAAGGAGATTAGCCTTTTTTTTTTTTTTAAATGTGAAACGAAATCATTTCTTTCCACTTGGCTTGAATCCAGCTCACTTCAACTGTGTGTGGTGAATAACATTACCATCCAGCAAGAGGAATGTTTTTTCAAATTTTTTGTCATTATCCATGTATTAAGGAGAAAAACAGGAGTCCTGGTGTGACACTGCAGGATGAGCACTGAACTGCTAACCACTAGGTCAGAGGTTCAAATCCACCACTCCTAGGAAACTTTATACAGATTGCTATGAGTTGGGACTCAGTTAACACTCTCAGCAACAACAAAAAAGAGAGAAAACTGAGTTTAAATTCTCCCAAACAAGAGAAAGTAAATACTATTGGAGAAGGTTTTTTAGGTCACTTAAGTATCTACAATTTTTTACAGCCCCTCATTTCCTGCAAAAATCAAGTTCCCAGATTTAAGAGTGATCTTGCCAAAGGTGAGAAAATACAAAGATAAGTGAACATGTTTAGGTCTCTGGGGTCATGGTAAATGAGTTAGTGGTCTCATTCCAGTTACTCAGATGAAGTTAGTAAAGTTTTCTTGAGCAGTAACACAAATATATTATTTTTCATTTACAGATAAGAAAATTGAAAGGAAAGGTAAGCAGAAAGATGAAAGATATAGGACCACTGAAAATAAAGTTTGTAAACTCGGTCTTGAATGTGAAGAATAGTTGAATTTGGTTTGAAAAGAAATTTGATTTCCACAGCACAGGAAGAAAGTGCAACATAACTCCTGAAAGGTGGTACCTCCCAGAGAATTTTCCTCAAGGCCACAAGAAGATATCTAAGGGGACGCTTTTATTATCTATGTAGCTAGATTGACATCCTGGCTGTTTTAGGTTCACATAAGACCACCAATTCTCACAGTAGCTGCTCAAAGTAGACTTTGCCTTAATAACATGGATGGAGTAAAGCTTTCAGGACCTCCATTGGCTGACTCCTCACATATGAAGAGACAGTTGCAAATAGCCATTAGTAATAGGAACATGGAATATACAAAGTGTGACTCTGGAAAAATTGGAAGTCATCAAAAATGAAATGCACCTTAATGTAAAGAAAACAAAAATTCTTACCACTGGACCAATAAACTACACTCATACTGATGAAGAAAAGATTGAAGTTATCAAAGACTTCATTTTGCTCCTATTAACCATCAACACTCATAGAAGCAGTAGTCAAAGGTTGGGGGGGGGACGAGGGGTGAGGAGGAAGATGCATTGCACTAGGCAAATCTGTGGCACAAGACCTCTTTAAGGCAATGAAAAGCAAAGATGTCAGTTTAAGGACTAAAGTGATGTCAGTTTGAGGACTAAAGTACACCTGATCAAAGTCATGGCATTTTCAATAACCTCATATGCATGTGAAAGTTGGACAATGAATAAGGACAACTAGAGGAAAATGTATGTATTTGAGTTACGGTAATAGAGGAGAATATTAAAAGGACCAATGACTGCCAAAGGAAAAAACAAACAAAAAATGAAATGGAATACAAAAGATCACTGAATTAGGCATTAGTGAGATGAAATGGTCTAGTGTTGGATACTTAGAATCAGACAAACATATGGACTACTATGCCAGGACCACCACCATCCACCTTTTGACACTTAATTGTACTGAATTGATAAACTGAAGAGGAATTGCATCACATTCATCATCAAATAGAAAATTTTATACTGTGGTGACTTGCATGTTGCTGTGATGCTAGAAGTTATGCCATTGATATATTAAATACCAAAAAGAAGGGCACACCCACAGTGGATTGGTCTCAGCTAAGATTACAGACTAATACAGACTAGAAGAAGGAGCTCTGGTTACGAATCGGGCTACAAACTGCAAGGTTAGCAGTTTGAAACAACCAGCTGTTCTGCGGGAGAAAGATGAGGCATTCTGCTCCTGTAAAGATTTACAGCCTCAGAAACCCTGTACAGGGTCACTATGAGTCAGTTCTGACTCCATGGCACATAACAACAACAACAGACTAGAAGAAAGGAGAGGAGATTACTTCTGAACATTTAGCCACTGAAAACCTTATGAATAGTAGTGGAACATTGTCACAACCAGACTTTTAAATATTGGAACATGATGAGGAGCACCAGAATAATGTCAGACATAGTGCCAGAAGTTGAGTCCTTCAGGTTGGAAGCCACTCAAAATACGACTGGGAAAGAGCTGCCTCCTCAAAGTAGAGTAGACCATGAAGACACATATGGAATACAACTTTCAGGACCTTCATTAGCTGATGCGGCAGATTTAAAATGAAGTGAAATTGCTATGTTGTTGTCATTAAGTGCCATCGAGCTGGCTCCGACTCATAGGGACCCTGTAACCCTGTACAGTATTTTTGAGGTGCTACTGGGGGGTTTGGTAGTGTAGTGGTTACGAATCGGGCTGTGAACCTTAAAGTCAGCGGTTTGAAACTACCAGCCGCTCCGCGGGAGAAAGATGAGGCTTTCTACTCCCGTAAAGATTTACACCCTTGGAAACCCTGTACAGGGTCGCTATGGGTCGGACCCGACTCGATGGCACTTAACAACAACAACAACAACAACTGGGGGGTTTGAACCATCGGCCTTTTGATTCAAACTGACTTTGCAGTACAGTGCATTATCCTGCCAGCACCACATCGGGACTCCTCAGATATCACCAGAATATTGAATATTGAAACAGGATGAAGAGGATCAGAATATTGTCAGCGCAGAAGATGAGCCCCTAAGGTTGAAAGTACTCAAAATATGATTGGGGAAGAGCAGAGTTGACCATGATGACACTAATGGAATAAAGCTTTCTGGACCTTCATTAGCATATGAAGCAGACTTAAAATGAGGGGAAACTACAATAAATATCCATTAATAATGGAATACACAAAGTATGAATCTAGGGAAATTGGAAGTTGCCAAAAATAAAATGGAACGCATCAGCATTGATATCCTAGGTGTTACTGAACTGGACTGGACTGATATTGGCCATTTTGAATATGATAGTCATACATTTACTATGCCTTAAAATAGAAATTGAAGAGGAATGGTGTCACATTCATCATCAAAAAGAAAATGTTAACATCTGTCTTGAACTATAATGCTGTCTGTGATAGGATAATGCATACACCCACAAGGAATGTTATTTTCAATAACCTCATATGCATGCGAAAGCTGGACAGTGAATAAGGAAGACCTTAGAAGAATTGATGCTTTTAAGTTATGGTGTTGGAGGAGAATATTGAAAGTGCCATGGGCTGCCAAAAAAAAAAACAGATCTGTGTTGGAAGAAGTGCAGCCAGAGTACTCTTTGAAGGCCAGGATGGCCAAACTTCATCTCTCATACTTCGAACATATTGTCAGGAGGGACCAGTTGCTGAAGAAGGATATCATGTTTGGTGAGGTGGAAGGTCAGAGAAAAAGAGGAAGACACCAGCGAGATGGACTGACAAAGTGGCAGCATCAATGGGTTCAAGTGTGGCAACAGTTTTGAGGTTGGTCCAGGACCGGGAAATGTTTTGCTCTGTTGTGCATAGGGTCCCTATGAGTCGGTACAGACTCGATGGCACCTAACAACAACAACAATAAGGAAGACCAGTTAATGCCACAATCATTCCAATGCACATAATTACTGGTGATTGGAATGCAAAGGTTAAAAACAAAGAGGAAGGATTGGTAATTGGAAAATATGACCTTGGTGATACAAATGATGGTGAAGATTGCATGATAGAATTTTTCAGGCCCAATGACTTTCATTACAAATTACTTTTTTAAACAGCATACAAGCTGACTATACACATGAATATCACCAGATACAATACACGGGTTTCAGATAACTACATCTGTGGGAAGAGTCTGTGGAATTGCTCAATATCATCAGCCAAAACAAGGCCAGGAGCCGACTGTGGAACAGACCATCAATTGATAGTCATTTGCAAGGTTAGACTGAAGCTGAAGAAAATTAAAACAAATTCATGAGAACCAAATTAGGACTTTGAATGTATTCTACCTTAATTTAGAGACCATCTCAAGAACAGATTTGATGCATTAGACACTTATGACCAAAGACCAGAAGAGTTGTGGGATGACATCAAGAACATAATTTAGTAAGAAAGCTAAAGGTCATTAAAGAGACAGGAAAGCAAGAAAAGACCAAAAATGGATGTTATAAGAGACTCTTCAGCATTGAGTTGTAGAGGAGCAGAAGATACTTCTAGAAAGAAAGACCAGCAAGAAAAAAAAAAAGCACACAGTTTGGCTATTACAAGAACAAGAAAGCTGTTTGCCTGTGACCCATCAAGGCCCTTCAAGACAAATCCCCTTCCAAGACTGAAACTCAAAGA